GGTCTCGAGGTCCATGTCGTTGGCGCGGGCGGGCGAGTCGTAGTCGAAGAAGGGGTGCATGGCCTGGACCTCGCCGGCGTAGGCGTGCATGCGGCGCGCCGTCTCCCGCGACTTGATGTACCCCCACACCATGGGCGCCATGTCCCGCTCGTCGTTCATGAAGCCCGTGTCGAAGTCCGGCGTCGCGTACGGGTCCGCCGACTTGATGTGCGTGAAGCCCCGCGAGAACGGGTACTCGAGGAAGTGGAACATGGTGAAGAAGTTTCCCGGCGGCCTGCGCGGTATGTGATGTGAGTAAGGAGTAAAGAGGCTGAAGGCTTGCGTCTAAAGCTGGGTGAGTGGGTGGGTGGCTGGGTATCGCTTACATGAGCATGTGGTCGCCGAACCAGCCGGCGATGATGGAGTAGTGCATCACGGGCTTGTCGGGCTTGTTCTTGAAGTACGACTTCCAGCCTTCGTTGAACTGCGGTGTGGGCCACGATTCGAACTCCTTGAGTTCCTGCTCGGTCGGGCGGATCTTCACGCCGGCGTCGATACCGTTGGTGGCGAGTGGCCCGGTTCCCTTTAGCGCCCACTCGTCATATACCCCTATAGCTCGGTCAGATCTACGTTCACTAGGTTGATATATAACTGTTGTGCTTACGCTTCTGTACTTCCGGTACGCCCCGGACGAAATCGTCGAAGCTTTCCGTCTCGGGCTTGGCACGGTATGTGGCGAAGGTTAGGTAATGGTCCTGGAAGTTGAGACCTACGCCGGGAAGGTCGACAATCGGCTCAACTCCGGCTTTCTTGAGCTTCTCGGGGTCGCCTGGAACATATTAGTACCAGAAGCGTTTTATTTCTAGCTTGGTACTTGATATACATACCGATACCAGAACGCTGGAGGATCAGGGGAGAAGACAGGGTGCCTCCGGAGACGACGATTTGCTTCCGTGCTTTGAAAGTACGAGTCTTGAGTTGGTTGGGGTGAAGTGGTTTGGTAGGTCTTATGCCAAGTCAGCTTCTCTAATCACGCAATTCAGGGGCCGAGTTCATCTTACACGGTCTGGACGGCTACCGCTCTGCCGTTTTCCATGATGATCTTGTCTACCTTGGTGTTGCAGGCAAGGTATAGATTGTCATGGACAGCACGGGTCGAATGGACATACGCATGAGCGCTATCACTTCGCCGGCCAGTCTACAAACATTAGTCGTGGGCCTCAGGTCCGGAGAGAAAGAAACGTACATCGCGGTTGATCCACTTTAGCCAGTGTTCGGCACCATGGCCAGTAGAGAGGTCTTGCAAATCATCAGTGAACGGGATATCTTGAGATTCCGCTGCCCTTAAAAAGTCATCCTTGACGGGGTATGTGCTTGAGGTAATTAGTGCCGGGTTCACTGAAAGTCCATGCTCTGGTGTTCGACTTACTAGTTGCCGAAGGATACCTTGATTGGTCCTTCGAATCCATGGATGTCCCTGTACTGGTTAGTTATTGTCGAAACGTAAGGCATGCCAATACTGACTTGTTATGGCAAGCTCGCTGGTAAGTTTCGTGTTTCTTCATGAGGGGAAGAAGTTCCTTGGTAGTCCACCCCTTTGCCTGGAAGTCATCGTAGTCCGATGCTGAAGCGCGCGTGTACATCTACAACGTCTAAGTTCAATAGAACCTAACCGGATTCACAGGTTGGGCCACTTACCAGGAAGTTGATGCTAGAACCGCCTCCTAAGACGTGGGCACACGGAACCACCGCCTTTCTCCCGGAGAGATGCTTGGATGGGCGGGATTCATAGAAGGACGCTGTCTTGGAGTCTAGCTTCATGTTCCGGGGGTAAACCCCCGGTCTGAAGACCCATGGGTTATTGAGGTTGCTCTCTCCCGCTTCGATCAGGAGAACCTTGAGGTTGTGGTCTAGATTGGCCAGACTACGAAGGGTGAGCGCGAAAAGATCCTATGAATTGAACAGATTATGGAACGATATGACGCACCGACCAGCCACTACACATCCGCAACTCCCGCCACCACATACGATGATATCGAATTCTTCCGGTAAGGGACTCATATCTTCTTGTTGTTGTTGTCTCTGCTCCCAGCCAAATATCTTGGAGAACATGGTGTGAAATGGGTTCGGGGGGTAGAGATTGGCTACTTATGCTTCGTCGAAGGCCGGGCTAGCAGGATCTACAAATATGTGAAAAAAGAGGGGAATCTCTGAAGCTGCAGACCCCGAGCGTATCCCCCTCTTCCAGGCGAGATCTTAGCAGGCCGCCAATGATGCGTCTTTGTGCTTAGATTATGCACATGAATCCCGATTGCTAACTACATCCCCGTCGACGCCCCCTCTCCTGGTAACTATTCGATACACTTGCCAACTCACAACGTAGGTCATCTGATATCTATCGATGTAACATCTCCGCATCTCACCCACGCGCCCAGAGAATGTGATCGGGTGGGATGAGATGGGATGGGAAGGCAATCCTTGGAAGAGTAATCGCCGGCGCGGTTGCGAAAGTGTCATCTAACCAGACTTGGTATTACCGGGTTCGGATCTCCATTTATATGATCTATCACCGAGCCTATTTCAGCCTGCCCACGTCACCACCCTCTAAGGTTTATGGTAGTACGAATCTGTCTGATCGTAGACGCCATGGCACGGCAGAACACAGTCGGAAGTGGTGTCCCCTGGAAGCAGTCATTCGGTGAGGCTCGGAGAGTTCCCTTTCGCAGCCTCGTTAGCTGGCCTACCCCCGGCTGATTTGCTGCGCTAAGTAACTCTGCATATGTCCACAAGTCCAAGAGCCACTAGCACACGCAGCTCGTATGCAAGACGGTTGCTACAATGCGGGGGTGGAGGCTATGTGAGGTCAAATACCCGTCACTATATATGCAGCCCATGCTTCCCCGCAGTTCTCCAGGAAGGATTATAGTTCGTTTATTTCCTTGGGTCTATCCTAAGGGAGCCCGTTGCATAGCCAGCTCGCACCAATGGTTGTCATGCCGTACCTTAGCATCCCTTAGCATTCCATGTTGGCAGCTGTAGTTGGTCAGCTTGGCCTGTGCTGGTCGGGGTTGTCAGCTTCCTGGCCTCAGCTCTACGAAGATGTCCCGGATACCCATTGGAGTCTTGTGAGTTAAAAGTGGTCTTAGTATGAAGAGTATACGCGTGGTCAGGAATACTAGAGGCCAATCGTTGATGTCCCCGATCACGGGTTTAGTTTATAGTATAACAGCCGAGAGGGGAACCCCCTATCCGACCAAGTTTAGTCGATCAACAATCGACAACACAGCTTGGACGCAATCCTCTCGGGCATCACGACGCGGAACTGCCGACGAGACTGTCACTAGACCATCCTACTTGTACAAGCTTAGACGCAGAGTCATCTTCTTGTTACATTCGAGTGCTGCACACGACGAGGGGAAATTGGAGAAACCGACATCTCGTCCTAACAAACGGCCGGTGCTTTTTCTTGTCCGACCAATTCGGTCTACTCTACATGCCCTCCACCACTCGAGTCCAAGTGTTAATATCAGATCCCAACCAAAGTTGGATACACTCTGGACAACCTTGCTGTGATTCATATCGCGAGCCTATGAGAAGGCCGGCCAGGCCGGATACAGTCCAGTCCCTTCCGTTGCTTATACCCAAACTATCGTTGTTAGGATGAACGCACCGATCACTGTCCGACCTGGGCTAACCATGTCTCTCTCTCTCCCCCCGCCCCAAGCCCCCTTAACTTCTGCATATATTGAAACTGAAAGGAATGAGCTATGGCCTTCAAGCCCGGTAAGGCTTTACCGCTACTCTAGATGCTTACAATATCCGGATTACAAATTGCAATTCACTATCATCCTGAGAATGACGCCAAGGACCAGAGATAGAGATATGTTGAGTATATCGTAGCGATCCGCACGATGTCAAAAGAAAAGGGGTAGGAATAATGAGTTAACCAATCATAACTATTTGGCCCCCGCGCCGAGCTAAGATTCCAGCCATGGCAACTATGAAAGTAGTGGTGGTAAATGTGCTCGGGTGTGAGCTTATACGAGATCTTCTACTCTGTGTCCGTACACTCGCTAGTTACGGTAATCTTCACAGAGTTTCCCAGTCTTGCTCAGAAGCCGGTTCCATGTTTCCCTCCCCTTCATATTACCTTATACATTTTCGTCCGATCTAAGCACGATGGTGTGCATCTGCGACCCCAGACTGCAACTTGGCTGTACGGTGACATAATAGCCTAGACGTTATGCAACTGCCGTTGCACTTATGCCAATGCAACGCCTGCTCAGGGAGCAGGGTCGGCTACGTGTTACAAAAGGCCTAGGCCTTTTACCCCCGTGATGTTACATGTTCAATTATCGTAGGGTTCTCCTGGTGATACGAATAAGCCGCGTAGGCGCGGGTCCTCGTCTAGTCATATATTGACTTATTACATCCTCGTAGAGGAGAAAACTCGGTATATAATAGGAGTTATTGCTTTCGGGATTTGTAGTACAGCTTTGCATGTGCTACACGAGATAACGAAATTGGCAGTTCAGAAACTTTTGTGAAAATCGAAAGCTTATAGATGTAAGGAGGCAGGTTTTACCCAATCTGATATGACTTAGCCCCTGAGGTAGACGTTAAGAAGGAGAGGAATGCGTGAAATTGGTAGAGAGACACCGGGTTTACTTTCTGGGAATACCAATCATATACATACTTTGTATATTGCTATAAATATCTAGCGGGATACCGTAACGTAATCTAATCACTTGGTTGAGTCTCAGCACACAACATTGCAGGATGCCAGCGAATGTGATTTAGGCACATAGACAAATATTAATAATTCAGTTTATTTCGTGGTGTTACATCGTAAACTACCTACCTTCTATAATATCTTTAAGGTATTGTTAATTATGAATACCTGGCTGGCTCTTATAAACCTTCCCGTAATACTCCCAAGACTAAACAGCCTATACATATCTGATACAACGAGTGTACTTTCATATTGTAACAAGTGGATGCTTGTGGGATGATATGTTCTAGCCCGACTAGCTCATCGGTAGAGCGCCTCACTAGTATCTTTCGCAAGCTACACTGCAATGAGGAGGCAACAGGTTCGATTCCTGTGTTGGGCAGATTTTTTTTGTTTGTTGTGGTGCCCGATCTCTTCACAATTGTTTCCAAAAAAAAAATTTTCTGTCACGACGTAGAACTAAAAGGTGCGGAAATAACAACGGTGATGAGCAGAGAGCTAAGAACCTCGCTGCTAACTCCGGTCTGAGAGGTCAGAACCCTGACAGTTTTCGTATTTAGTACGCATCTTGTGGAATCCAAATCATCTAGTATCATTGGGAAGAAAGAAAGGAAAGGCGGCGCGCTAGCTAAAGACAGCATCTCCTTTTCCACCATATCCCACAGCTCATACGTTTCGCCAGGAGGCCCATTCGTGTTTTGAAATGGCAAACCCTTCGTAATATGAGCGCTATCACCGAGTTGAACCACACGCTCTCCGCTAGAGACCCAATTAGGTTGGGGATCACGCCAGCTTTGTGTCCAACCAATCAATACAGCTCTTGTCGGGAATGTGGCTTAGAATTTTGATCAAGTCTGGATCCCAACCGGCGGTTTCAACGAGCCTCTTCCAAGACATAGTCAGCTGAAACGGCAGCCTTCCAAGATTCTTTTGTGACACCACTCTCCTAATGTGGAATTGGAGCTTAGTATTGAAGGAGAATATAGTTCCAGTGTCGTCGGCGCCTTCATACACGACAACCGCATCTTAGGGCCTCCTTATATATACCCGTTGGAGACTAGGAAGCCATGGGAAGGAGGACTCGGTAGGCTGCATTCCTTACATTCCTTAATACAGACCAAGCACCTCATAGCACAACGCACCTCATCCTGTTGACGGGTTGGTAGTTTCGATCGGGGCTTCGGGTTCACCATATCGCCAATTTCGGATAGTAAATTCCTACCAAGCAGAGAACTCTCCGGTCCATGTGATAGCATGTTCGAGACAAGAAGTTAGCGGTGAATCGGAGAACTTTTGATTATTCGTGCCTGGGCAGATGACGGATAAGACGTCCTATTGGTCAGCTAAACTGGTTACATCCCAGCCCCAGTCGCGCTTTGATTTTCCAAGGCGTCTCAAGTGGAATCACACTTGAAAGGAAGTGATCGATTTAGGGTTTGCTGTTAATGAACTACCTATCACCGCCGCTATCGATTGCTCGAGCCCCTTAGTTCCGTGGAATACGCGGGATCTATTCACCATGGCCATGCACTTCTCTTCTAAACTTCCCCACTCCTGCGAGCATTGTCGACGGATCACTCTTGATTTCAGACTGGACGACGCAGCGACGCAATTCAGCTGCGGGATTCGGGAAGCAATTGCTGCCGACCAAGCCGGCTGCCCGCTGTTTCGGGCTTTTTTCGATAGCGTTAGGGGGGGAGGTCGATTAGATGATGGTTTCGCCGATCGAGACGACCTGACTTTCGTGGTGCGGTATGCGAAAGAAGAGTTGCCTTATCTTACTGCGGCGGTCTCGCTCAACCTTATAGCGAGTGAAAAGTTGGATGACGGGACGGAGAAGGCCGAAATTCTTGAATTGACCAGGTTACTACTCTGGACGGGTGAAGGTATTACCTACTCTATGTGTTCTCTCACTCCACTGATTCTTTTTGCTGACTCACGTCCCAGATGATGCCTCTTCGGTTGATATCACCACTCGACCCTATGAATTGGATTACACCTCTCCTGCTACTGTAAAGTTTGCCCGCAGCTGTGTTAAATCGTGTCAGTTGGATCACGAAGAATGCAGAAGATCGGCAAGCGGTGGAGAGAGCTTGGGTTCAGAACTCATTGATCCTAATTCCATCCCCTCTAGACTCCTATATCTCGTCACAAAAGATTCTGTGCTTTACGCTAAACTTATCGGCCGGGATCTCTTGTCAGAAATTCCAAAGGATACGGTATCGCAACAGGGGTTTGCAATTCTATCGTACTGTTGGGGAGGACCGCAGCCGGTACAGCTAACTCACGATAGCATCGGGAACTTGGCGGATGGCATTCCAATATCGCATTTGCCAAAGAGCCTCCGCGATGCAGCGTGGTTTACGAATGAAATGGGATTGAAATACCTTTGGATTGACGCTCTCTGCATCCTGCAAGACGATGTCGACGACAAGATGCGCGAAATCTCCCGTATGGAGCTCTATTATAGTCACAGCACAGTTACGATCTGCGCGGCATCGGCAGCAAGGTGTTTGGACGGCTTCCTTCTATCGCGCGAGGATAATGCCGCAGATTACAGTATCGGCCCTATTCAACTGCGATCCATTACATCGACGGGCGCATCTGGCACGGTTCAAGCGTTAGATTTGGCCGACGACTTCAACCTAAAGAGGCCCCTAGAGCCCATTGCTAGCAGGGGTTGGACGCTCCAAGAAGCTCTGCTTTCGAGACGAATCCTCATATTTTCATCACGCCAGCTATACTTCACTTGTACCGTCACCAATGCCAGCTGTGGCGGCTTCGAGCCCCTTTTGAAACCCCGCGTGATGACTAACTACGAGTCTCGAGTTGTCGGCGTGCATACATTATCGGGACTGCGGAGCTACCCGATCAGGAACATATGGCATTCGATCGTCGAACAGTACTCGAGGCGGTATTTGGGGTTTGCTGCGGACAAGTTCCCAGCTGTTGCTGCCATGGCTTCAAGCCTCATCTCGATGGCAAGGGAGCGCAATCGGGAATTGGTCTACCTTGCAGGTCTTATGCTGGACAAGTCAGATACCGAGAACTACGCCTGGAGGACCGAGTTCCTCTGGGCAGTAACCCGAATGGAAGAAACACGTCATGTTCCTGGCCGAGCCCCGTCGTGGAGTTGGCCTTCAGTAGATGGCCGTATTATGACGTGGGGATGGGGATGGCCCGAGCCAGAGGACTTGTCTAGTGTTGACGAGGTAGAACTCTGCGAGTACGGTATTGAGTATGAGAACCAACTAGTTCCATATGGGGCTATTAAGGAAGGACATGTGAAGATCCGAGCGAGAACTCAGACTCTACACTCGATTGCAGGGCTTCATTATATCATATCAACGCACCGGAATGATGCGAACGAACGGATGGATCCCGGCAAAACTGTACTTGTACTAAGTCCGGATACCAGAGAAAGAGCGGAAATCGTTGGGAGAGGTATCCGAGAGGATCGTGGTGTGTTTCTTGTAGAGCTTATCCCCTTCCACGAGAAGAGAACCTCTCCTGCAGGCCTCATCGTAACTCGAGAACTGGAAACAAACCGCTATGTTCGCGTCGGAATGTTCGAATTTCAAAAACCCGACGTTAATCAGACGGCATCGGAACTTGCTTCCAGGCAGACTCTGTTTAGCAGTTCGCCGTTTCAAGAGATATGGATGATTTAGATCTTTTCGACTGTCATAAGAGATGGTAAAGAAAAGAATTAGAGATCGGGGATAGAAGATAGGAGGGTACTTAGATACGAATACAGGGGTCCAAGCGCTAGGTACCAGCAACATGCCCCACATGAATTGCCCAATTAGGCAAACCCCGTATCTATTTTCGAAGTCCCACTGTGCTGCCTGGAGAAGTTCAGCCTCAGCTGTCAGCTCGCCTTCCACAAGCGCCCAATTTCGTGTTAATACGTACCCGGGTACCCGAATACTATTGACTAACTCTACAAACCCGCCTGTATTGATCCGTCGAGAACCATGGGGAAACCTTCGACCCAAGACCCCAAGCTGGCAGCCGACTCAGTCTCGCTGCGTACCAATCCTGGCGAGAGCTCTAGAGACAACTATGATGAACTCGACACCCCCGAGATTGCTGTCGACGACTTGCCACCGAACTACGACGATGCCTTAATATCGTCCGAAGACGCATCGTTGCTGCCACCAGCGTTCACGCCGGCGCCTGCCACTGCAAACGTCCTACCTGCAGCTGCTACCCGACCGTATGTAGCTGATGCTACCTTCTTAGAAGATAGCAATACTGGTGCGCAGTATTGGGTATCCAAGAGCCTCGAGGATCCAGTCCGTCTCGAGTCCCATATTCGACAGCTCGCTGCCATCCCTCCGCGACCCTACATCAAGCTTGTAGGCACACATAGCGAGACCAGGAGGGATAGTAAGGGCAAGACGGAGAAGAATACCGTAACCGATTTCGATATCTCTGTCGAGCTGACTCCGTACCTATACTCCGACGCCCAATACCGTCGATCGTGGACGCAGCTGAGGACCGTGGACAACGGCGAGAAGGCGCGGCGTGGCACAATACTGCGGAAGCGCGCCCCTGGCTCGAATCAGAGCATCGAGGTTGGCGGTGTCCCGAAACCCACACTGAAGGAGTGGTGCCATATGTACGCTGCTAGCCACGCCGGACTGAAGGCGTTTATGCTCCAGAGAAGGATGGTTGGATTCGACGAGGAACTTGTCAAGCGACGACTGCGAATGTTGGTGAACGACACAAACTACCGCGGCCATGTCCGCGTTGATCTCGTAACCAAGGGCTCGTTGATCGCGTGCTACAATGAGGCCAGGACCAACCATTGGCGTCTAACTTCGTGGATACAATGGCTATTCATGCTCACGCTGTTGTTCATCTTCAGCTGGCCGTATCTGTGGCTGCGGACGAAGAGGTGGGAGGTTGCCATTGCCGAGTGGCCCTTCTCGAGAATGGCCGAGGATGGCACTAAGGAGTATGTGAGCATCAGTGAAGACCAATGGTACAACATGTGGGGGCAAGCTATCTGCAAAGCCGTTCTCGAGAAACGGCAGGGCGAACTGGACCAGTCGGACCTGAGAAGAGCGCAAGAGGCCGAGCCGGTGTTCAACACCGGCAACTCCACCGCCGACGGGGCTCTCAGTATATTCAGAGCTGGCATTCATGCTATGAACGAAGTGAACCGGCACTTGGGCTGGGGCGGAGACTGCTAGAGGCCCTCTTCCGGAAAGCTTCACTGTCGGAAGTACCTGCGTGGGTTTCTTGTGTTTGGTATCGTTGTCGTGGCTTTTGGCTATCTGCTCTCCCTAGCGTCTTTGTTCATGATGATTTTGATCCTAACTATTCTCCTTGGCTGGAAATGTCTGTTGCACTTGGTTATATGAAAGCGGAGAT